CTGTAACCCTCCCTCCCTCTTTCCCACATGTTTCTGATATTATAATGTGTGTCTCCTCTTTTTCTTCCTGATTACTCTGGCTAGAGGTTTGTTAATTTTATTGACCATCTCAATGAACCAACTCTGAGTTACATTAATTTTCTGTATTGATTTTCAATTTTTTACTTTCGGGGGAGAGATTTTCATTCTGATTGCCTTTCCTTTTTTCTATTTATTTTTGTTTAATTTGCTTTTCTTTTTCTAGTTTCTTAAGGTGGTCCCTGCCTTTTTAAAACTATGAAATATTTCAAACATACAGGAAATTACAGAAGAATAACAGTGTGCCCAAATCACAGATTTAATGTATTAGCATTTTGGCATCTTCACTCTTTTTCTGTCTTTAAACATTATAAATACAGTTAAAGCCCTCATCTCATTTCCCTTTTTACTCTCCAGATCTAAACATTACCTTGAATTTAATGTTTCCTTCAACTTGTTTGTTTACGCTTTCCATATATGCATTTCTCCCTACATATTACATAGTATTGCTTGATGTATTTTCAGAGTTTAAATAAGTGGAATTATCCTATATGCATCCTCTGTTGTATGTTTTATTCAACATAGCTTTAAAAAATTGTCCATATAAATATAGATTTGTAATATATAGATTTGGTTAATTTATTTTAATTGCCATATAGTATTCTAATGATTGCACATGCCATATTTTATTTTTTTAAAATAATCCTTACTGTCACAATTGGGGCTTAAGTTTTTTAGAAAAAGAAAAAAAATCCTAATGTAGATTATTTCTAATTTTTTACGGTCATAAACAGTACAAAAATGAACATCCGTTTGCATGTCTCTTTGACAACTTAGGGTACAGATTCTTTTGAGTATTTACCTGGAAATAAAATTGCTGGATTAAGTGATATGTCTTCAACTTTAATACTGACATATTTCCACCAGTAATGAATAAGAATTTCTGTATCAAGAATTGTATTTAGGGCTTATGCCTGTAATCCCAGCAATTTGGGGGCTGAGGCAGGAGGATCACTTGTGGCCAGGAGTTCGAGACCAGCTTGGGCAACATAGTGAGGCCCCATCTCTACAAAAAATACAAAAGTCAGCCAGGTGTGATGGTGCATGCCTGTAGTCTCAGTTACTCAGAAGGCTGAGACAGAAGGATTGCCTGAGCCCAGGAAGTCAAGGCTGCAGTGAGCTATAATAGGGCCACTGCAATCTAGCCCAGGCAACAGAGTGAGACTTTGTCTCAAAAAAAAAAAAAAAGAATCGTGTCACTTGTATCACCTGCCAGTAATGGAGACTGCCAATGGCTTTCTTAGTTGTAGTTTCCATTGTTAAGACTATTTGATGGTCCAAGCTGTCATGCTTCAGCTGTAATGTCCTCACACAGGAAGAAGAAGGAGAAGAACTGAAAAGGCTTTCCTGGAGTTATGAACCAACTGTTTTGTGTTGATATCTCATTGTCTGTCCTTCTCTACATTAAGGACAGGGAAATGTAGATTTTTAGCTAGGTGCATTGTACATAGGAAGTGGGGGGATGTTTATTGGGTAGGCCATCAGCATTTACCATCACAGATCTCCTTTTTGCTGGTCTGTTCTAACATTTGGTAATATTAAACATTTAATATTTGGGTGTCAGGTGGGATTGAAGTGATATCTCACTTTTAAAATTGCATTTCCCTGATTGGTGAGGTACAGAATTTTTTATGTGAGTTGAGGTTTTCTGTAAATTACCTATTCATATCCCTTTGACATTATTTTATTAGTAGTCTTTTTCTAATTACTTTAGCATAGCTCTTTATTATTCAGGGTGCTCATCTTTTGTTTCTATACATAAGGTGTTTTTGTCTTATTTTTAAACTTTTAGTATTGTATCTTTTATCATACAGAAGTATTCATTATAATGGAGTTATATTTAATAAGTCTTATCCTATGTGATTTGTTCTTTTCATGTCTGTTTTTGGGAAGAAATTTCTTTTTGTGCACTGTAGTCATGAAGAGCTTTTATTTTAAAAGTTTTAAACTGTTGCTTTTCACAAAATCCATTTGAGAATTTTTGTATTTATATTTGTGAATGATATGAGGTGAGGATCTAATTTATCTTTTTTATATATGGAAGGCCAGTGGTGCCATCAGCATTTGTTGAATAATCCATCCTTTTGCCGCTATTTGCTTTGTTGCATCTAACATACATCAAATTTCTCTATGCACATGGACTTTTGAATCTGTTCCATTGATGTATATTTGTCTTTTGATAGCTTTATAAAAAGTCTGTATAGTAGGTTATTCCCTCTTCTTTAAAATTGTTTCAGCTATTCTTGGCTCTACTTTTCTATATAAGCTTTAGGATCAGCCTGTCCAGGTTCATGAAAATTTTGATTAGAATTTTAATTGAATTCTTAATTTGGGGGGGAATTTGACATGTTTATTATCTTGAGTCTTCACATTTGCAAACATGATCTGCTGCTCCATTTGATCTGGTTGTTGTCCTTTGGGACCATTTTATACTTGTTTTCATAAAGGTTTTGCCTATTTTGTTAAGTATGTTTTTAGGTGACTTATAGTTTTAATTTTTATTGTGCATGGGTAGCTTTTTAAACACTTTAAATGTTTAAGCATTTTATTTAAACATTTTAATTTGGTCTTTTTTGGTATATATGTTATTGGTTTCATCTGGAGCTTGTCTTTAGGAACCCTTTCAGGTTTTTTTCATCCTCCAGCTTTTTCAGTAAATTCACATTGATTAATTTCTTCTTCTGTAGGTTGTCCTTCCTATCTCTTGTTTGAACATGAAAGTAATGTTACTGTGGCTATTTTTTCAGGCAGCTCTGACCATTTCATTTTTTAAAAGATGCAGCTCAAGATTGCTGCTGTCTATTCTCAGTTATAGCCGAAAGGAACTGCCAGAGAGAGAAGTTTACCTTAGGTTATGTGCCCTAGAAATGACAAAGACTTCCCTCTCTGGAGCTGATTGCTCCTGTCTGCCTCCCCTTCTCACCTTCAGTTCTCAGTTTACTTGCTACCTTTATTCTCCCACTCCCTCGTTTTTCTTCTCTTTTGTTTGCCTATTTTTCCATTCCTTGTCTCTTTAATTTTGTTACTATAGTTTTTAGCACCTTCCAGGCACTTTATTTTATGGTTAACATATATTAACTCATTTGACCTTTATTACAGTCTGTTAAGGGTGGTGGAGCAGTCTCATTTCATAGATGAGGAAGTAAGGATGCTCAAGCTTATATAAGTAGAAAGTAGGAGAACCTGGATAATGTCAGGCCTTTCAGACTCTTGACATCAGTGATCTTTCCACTTTTCTCTATACTATTGAGGTTAAGTTTCTTCCTACTGTTCCTCCAAGTGGATGAGTTAAATATGCTGTATTTTTCTCTAATACAAAATTCGAGTAAACTTATTGAGGTAGTGTCTTTAGATTAAAATAAATTCAAGTGTGTGTTTTAGGTGGGGGGTGTTACTCAATCTTTTGTAAGAGCCATTCTCTAAGATCAAGAGACTTAAGAAAGACTTAAACAAAGAAAATATAAGTAAAAGTTTTGTCATTATGTGAAATATGCTTTACAAAAATGTGTTGTGTGTAGCCATGTAGCTACAGGAATGTTCTGGCAGGTGGTCCTGTTGTAAGAGTGCTATTACTCATCTCAATATTCATCACAGCATATACTCCATACATGTGAGTTAAGCCTACTTGCAGTGTAGGTTGATAGAAGAAAAGAGTTAGGAAACTGGATTCTGTTCACTGCATCTGTTAGCAATTAGCAGTGTTGTTTTGGGCAAGCCATTTTACTGTAACAGACATTAATCTCTTATATAATCAATCAATCCTGGTCAGACTTGAGGGAAAGGAGATTAGTGGGTAGAAAATCTCTGAGTATACAAATGGATCCATAAATTAGTAACAACATACAAAATTGTTTAAGATAATTTTGTCATTATCCTGATAGTATTTTCGCTTTCATAAGGTTCTTTGTATTCTTTGTTCATATGCATGTGTACTTTTACAGAATTATAATCATGGTATTTGCCTATATCCTTCATTTTTTCATGCCTCATATGCATACCTTTCATGAATTGCATAGTTTTCAAGAAATGCAATTTAAGACAATCCCTTTATATTATACCATTCCTTTTTGTGAGATAGTTCATTGGTTTCTAGTTTTGTTGTTTTTCCTTTTTGTAATTTATAGAATATTTAAGTTACATTCCCAGACATGGGATGATTCTATCAAATGTTATCAACACATTTATTTCTCTTGTTTTATTGTCAAATTGCATTCAAATTGGTTTAAACAATTGATTAATGCTGCCAGCAGTGTTTGAATGGTTCAGTTTAATTATAGCGAGCATCCCTTCATTTAACAAATATTCATTGAGCCCCTGTCCTGGTGGAGGTTACTTTCTAGTAGGGAAGATATGTGATAAACATAATAAATCAGTAAATTATACTGTATATTAGAAGATGATGAGGGCTTCATAGAACAGAAGGGTAAGGGAATGCCATGTGGGATGGCTTGCACTTTGTATCAGAGTGGGCCTCGCTGAGAAGGTAGCATTGGAGCAGGGTGTTCAGGGTGTTTTTTTCTTTTTTCTTTCTGGCCAATTTGAGAAGTTTATATTAGTCTTTCAATATTACTGTCGTTCTGTTTTCTTAGTAAGAATGAATGGTTTTCAACTTCCTATTTTTATGTTTCATTATGGGAGAATTTGGCATTTTTATGTAAAACCTTTCTATGTAAGACTGTCCCATTCTATACAATTAAGACTGGGGGAAATTAGCCTTCACCACATAGTTTGTATTTAAACTTGAGTACAATATTCTGCCCAAGGCTTTAATAAGGAACCAAAAAGTATCACTATTTCAATATTAAAAGTGAAAAAGAAGAATAAGATTGCTTCTTTTCTAATTGTATTTCTATTTTAAGTAAAGGCAAGGTGTTACTTAATATTAAGATACATGAGAATAACAGATATTTATTATTTTATAGGGTGACTGTTGGATCTGTATGGAACTCATGTCTACCTCGTTTGATAAGTTTTACAAATATGTATATAGTGTATTAGATGATGTTATTCCAGAAGAAATTTTAGGCAAAATCACTTTAGCAGTAAGTACTTGGCTTTCAAATTGTTCATTGTATATATAGTTATATAAAGATGCTGCTGGGGTTTTGAATGCACACATCTGAATGTCCTTCACAGAATGTTGACCTTCGTGAAAATAATTTGTAGTTAAAGCAAGAGACAAAGTCACTTTTGTGGGGTATTAACACAATAGGTTCTAAGAACATTTTTCAAAATATGGTTCAGATAAATACCGACAATATTCTTTTCATTTGAATCTCAATGAATCATAACAGTGTGCTATAAAGAAGACTAGAAAAAGCAATTTTCTGTTCATTTTTTCCTGTTGCTTTAACTATTTTTAAATAGGTTATATTACCACACTATCTCTAAATTAATCAGAATCACAGCAGTCTCCTTGAATCCTCGATTGAAGCCCTTAGACAAAGTGGTTGAAAATTTGGATTATTCAGCCTAAACTGTTTAAAATGTTGACTAGCAAGTTTAGGAAACAGCGTTACTACTAATTTGGTCAATTCTCTTTTACCAGAGTACCAAGAAAGCAAATATGTACTCTTTTGTGTATGTATTGATAGTTTTGAAAGTGAATTCATGATCACTTTTTTCTTGCTCTGGATCTTCTAGTGGACAAATGTTCACAAGTTTTTTCCAAAGGGAAAAGATAATTTATTTTTAATAGAGCAAAATTAATATTCTTTGAAACCCCTGAGAATCTAAGCTAATGACATGTATTAGGTTAGTTGTTGTATAAATTAAATCATGTAGGAAATTGTAAGATGGATATTCTGGTTGCATGTAATTTCCTAGCTCTTCCTTGGCTAAATATTCCTTTCCAATATAGTCCACCTGTCAGTTGCCAGGTTATCTTGTTTAATCATTGAAGATTAATAAGACTGGTTAAAAATACAGATAGTTTCTGAACTGTGTTTTACATGTAGGAGATATGTGTATGTATAACTGGATTTTTTTAAAATTGAATTAAACAGTCATTAAGATTCATATGTCTCGTTAATATTTTAAGTCCACTTTACCAAATTAATGATTAAATCTAAATGTTTTATGAGCTAAATTTTAAGATATACTTTCAAATAATTTTATAAAAAGAAACTGAGTTAGACTAGAAACTGACTCATTATTCACATGGGTATATGAAATTTTACATTTGATCTAGCCCTTTTGTCCAGTACACCAAACCAGTATTATCTTAGAACTTGTAACTATTCATATAATTATAATATAATAATAGTAGAAAATAATTTTAGGCAATGGTTGTTGAATGTTTATTTGCTTTAAACCAGGATCTTGTGACATATAAATCTTCATAGCAGCTCTCTATGGCAAATAGTGTAATCCCATTTTTATAGATGATAAACCTGAAGCATGGAGAGATTAAATAATTGCTTTGATGTTTATACAGTTATAAGTGATAAATGATTTAAGTCTTGGCAGCCTAATCCCAGAACCCTGCTCTTAATCATTGTATGACAGAATGGCCATGAAACTGGAAAACAGAGAAAATTATTTTATCGTGTATTGCAATATAAACAATATATACACTAATAAATAATTTATTGCATATTTACCTATTTCCAGACTTGGTGACCACCTTATGTATTAAGCACACATTTAAAGTTACTTTGTGTTGTCTCTTGCTATTCAGTAAACCAGTGAACACACAACCATAGCTATTTGAAATATTACAAGTTTGTGTGTTCTATATTTCTCACACCCAGCAGCTTGAGGACAGCAGGAACTTGACTTTTCTACAGCAAATGGTTGGCCTGTTGTTTAGTTCTCTTTTAATTTGAGGTTGTGGAAATTTTAATTCAAGTGTCCGCTCCCTTTCTTCCTGAAGAAATCTATGGTTTTCCAATCATGATCAGTGATCAAGCAATAGTATAAATTCTGGATAAATGACCACAGTGGTTGATCAAACATACCCTGGCTCTGCAAACATTATTTTGAATGTTCAGCACTCAATGAGGGTGAATGATTGTGGCAAACTGAGAATTTGGGAAAACTTACTAATTACTATTGATAGTGGAACCTGCCCATTGGTCTTTCTTGTACTATTTTCATTCTTGAAAATTTCAGGTTGGAGGTACAAGAAACCTGATACAACTTTTTAATGACTTATTAAACAAATTCTGTCACCTTTTTTTTGTTCGTTTTTTTTTTTGAGCTTTCAGGGAGCAGCATGTAAAGGCAACTAAGTTTTCAGATCTAAAATCATCAGTATTTTTGGTTAACATAAAAAATGGACAGAATACCGAAATATTAAGCTTAAAAAGTATACAGAGGACTACAGGGATATTACTTATGATAAACTATTCTGCTGTTTGAACAAAAGAAACAGGTTGTTTATCCCATGTCTTCTTTTTCTCCCTAGACTGTGAAAGCACTAAATCACTTAAAAGAAAACTTGAAAATTATTCACAGAGGTGAGTATGGTTTTTTTTATAGAATAGAAATTAACTTCCCCCCTTAATTAGTAAAAAAAAAAAAAAAAAAAAAAGAAAAAAAATGTTGAAAGTTACAGTGTCACTGTATAAGCATTCCTGAAATATTTTTATTTTGCTAAAAAAAATGTACCCTAAAACTTTATTATTAATTTAGTTTATTTTCTTCAGGATTCAATAAATTTCAGCCTGACTTATTAGTATGTTGGGCTTAGGCTTAGATTTTTCTGCCAATTGTTACAACTTCTAGTTAAAAAATAGTTATTCATTTGCCTGGTAGATAATCAATTCTTCTCTGTATACAAATAAGTCAAGGTGGTCCTGTGGACATTCAAAGAAGAATCTGAGTGACAGCACCCTCAAGTGTTTTAAAGGCATGTTACTGTCCCTATCAAGTGTTTCTTCTTCGCTTTAGAGGATATTTCTGTAAATTGAAAGAGATCTTTTAATTAGTGTTATAAAATGAAATTCCTCTGCGTGTTGTATTTGTGAAAACAGTAATCTGGGCCTTATTAGACACAGATTCAAATTTAAACATTTGTGTAGTTGAAGGCCAAACCTAGAAAAACAGTGACCCTGTGGGAATCCTGAATTTAATAAGCAAACAGATTAAATGCTTGCTCTGTTTATTACTTTGCTAGACTCAAGGAAATGAGGTGGTCACTACCCTCAGTAAATTTGTATTGGACAAACCTAAGGCAATGCATGGCAGTGTGTGATTCAGCTTGATAATAAATAGGAAAGAAAGTAAAAGATCAAATGCAGAGACTTGAAAAATCTTGAATTCTAGGAAATACAATTTCTAATAGTTAAAGAAATTAATAATTGGGACATTTATTTAAGTAGTTTTAGTTTGGGGTTGACACTGGACCACTGAAATTAGTTAACCTTGAACATCAGAATATTTTATTTAATTTTACTTGGCTTAATGTTTGCTAAAAATAATACTGTTTTCTTTTTTGGCCTAAAATCATGTAGAGCTAAGTTCCTAAACAAAATTCTTTGTTCCTGTTGTAGTTTATCATGCTCTTATCTTTTTTCCCTATCTTCTTTAGCTGTGTTTTATAATTATGAGAGTATCAGCTTTAGGGCATTAAAGTTACATGTTTAAAATATGAACGATTGAATGTCATAAACTGAAGATGTTTTTGCTTTTTATATATCTGAGTTTAAGACTTGAACACACTTAATGTTGTCTAAGGTTTTTCAATATTTTTGCTTAAAGTGAAGCCTTATCTAACTTAGGAAAGTATTGATTAATTATACACTGAATGACATCTGTCTTTTGCAGATATCAAACCTTCCAATATTCTTCTGGACAGAAGTGGAAATATTAAACTCTGTGACTTTGGTATTAGTGGACAGCTTGTGGACTCCATTGCCAAGACAAGAGATGCTGGGTGTAGGCCATACATGGCTGTAAGTGTGAAGTCCAAACCATCTTGCTTGATAGTCATTGCATAGAGAGCCTGTGCCCTTTGGTGCTGTACTTCTAAGAAATCTGCCATTGGTCATTGAGCTTCAACATGCTAGAATGTCTCCATCTGTCCTAAAGTCCAAGCTCAGCTTCTAGCTTCTCCATGAAACTTTTCTAAATTATTACAGTGAACTCAGTATTCATTGTCTTAATCTATTTCTCTTATTTTGCATTTAACATTTGTGATCTTCTCTGAGTATTATTTTTCCATTATATTAAATTCAACTAATCAACCAGGTGGTAAGTTCTCAGAAGGTGTCTTTGTGTTTCTAGTACCTCATATACTGTCTTGACTGTAGTAGATATAGATAATCAGAGCATATTAAGAATGTGTCCTAGGCTACTAAGGGATACAGTTTCTAGTTGGAGAAGATTGGGAAACCTTGTATTTGTAGCAGAACACAGTATGTCTTCCAGAGTCCGAAGCATGTTTTGAATGTTTTTAGTTCCTTCCTTAGGACTGGATGAAGCACATCGACAAATTGAAGGGTAGAACCCTTAGGTATTCAGCAACCTGAAGCATCTTTCCCCTAAGGGAGACAGATGTACACTATCCACAGATAGGAAACTCATCTTACCTTGGTGTAAGTGCATATACTGTTCCTACAGAGTGGATTTTGATCTGTATTTGAATTGGAATTTAGTGTCTATATTTTAAACATTTTCCTTAAGTGTTAATGTCTTCCTTTAATGTGGCCATGGTTCTTTGGGGACCAGTACACTATTTTAAATGGTGATACATAAAGTTTTAGTTGTTTGTTGAGGCATTTCTGCCAACAACTTCTGTTTTAGTCTTTGTAGACTCCTTTAAAGATTAGCTTAGAATTGAATAAAAATTTCTCTCCCTTTACTTGTTAATTTCCTTGTTGATTTGTATGTTTCCAGACCCGGTGCTATAAACAACACAAAAGTAAGAAAAATCAAGGCTAGATATTATAGGTGTTCTATCTTGTTTATGAATGAGTAGGCTTAGTGCTATCCCAAATTTCACGCTTACTTTAAACACTCGAATAAATTTTATTTCCCATGCCATTTGAAAGTATTATTAAATTTTTCATCAACACTTCTTTTTCCTCTTATATACCTCTCAATCTGTAAATAGTGTAAAAAAACAGCATTACATATATTCTTTGCACATGTTTATACTGTGGTCGTTATATTTGGAAAATATATTTGAGAATTTTCAGTATTGACAATATTTTAGAATTGTTGCATTTTTCAATACTTTTTGGTTTCTTAGATCTTTTCATGTCAACTTTTTTTCAAGTGAAAATGTTTTAGGGTTTTGTGTTTGTGTGTGTACGTATGCGTGTACATTAAGACACCATCATTGAAAGTTTTGGTTTTGTGGATGTTGACTGGCCAGGCAGATTCTTGGGACAATTCGATGATCATATGTTTATCATGATAATTAGTAATAAATGAACAAATTCAAAGGCAAGAAATAAAAATAATTAGACATGGAACTTTTGGAAAATGGTGTAATTTATACATTTAGTAATGATGCCTTGAAAATTAACTGAAATTGTTATCTACACTTTTAGGGCTTGTCTCAGTACTCAGGTTTACTACATGCTTTTGCTGGGTAACATTGGCTAAGATTTGTATTTGATTTATTCAGGCTTTAAAAATGCAACTGTGGCCCAGATAGAGTAGAATATTTTGAATTCAGTTAACTTTTAAAGAAAGAATTAAAGAAACAGACTTCCATTCTTGTGTAGAAATGTGCTTTGTAGGCCCAGGAGGTGCAAGTTTTCTGTTTTCCTGCTGAAAACTTTGGCGCACACAGGCTGATAATAAACTCTCTGCCTCTAATCTTTACTGAACCAAGTGAAATGCTCCTGTTCATTCTTGTCTTCTGAGGCCTATGTAGATAGACAAGAATGCAATCAGCATTAATTTTAAAAGGCTCCAAATGGTTTGACTCCTTTGTATCTTGACAAAATGTATGAGAGAAATACCCTTTTATTTAAGATTTATAATTTGTTTTTAGTCTTCGTGAATTGGGATTACTCATTAGATTGTTTAACATAAAGTCTTTAAAATGTAGAGTGTATACGTAAATTTTTCCGTAAACTGTTAACATTTTGCCCCCCCCCCCAATAACTATACAGTCATGTGTCTCTTAACCACAGGGATATGTTCTGAGAAATGTTTTATGAGGTGATTTTGTCATTGTGTGAACATCATAGAGTGTACTTACACAAATGCAGATGGCATCACCTACTGTACACCTTGGCTGTATGGTATAGCCTATTGCTCCTAAGCCACAAACCTGTGTAGCATGTTCCTGTACTAAATACTGTAGGCAGTTGTAAAACAATGGTAACTATTTGTGTATCTAAACATAGAAAAGGTACAGCAAAAATATGGTATAAATATTAAAAATGACACACCTGTATAGGGCACTTACCGTGAATGGAGTTTGCAAGACTGGAAGTTGCTCTGGGTGAGTCAGTGAGTGAGTAGTGAGTGAATTTGAAGCCTAGAACATTACTGTACATTACTGTAGACTTTGTAAACTCTGTATACTTAAGGTACACTAAATTTATAAAAAAAATAGTTTTCTTTAGTAATAAATTAAACTTGGGGTACTGTAACTTTTTTTACTTTATAAAATTTTTGGTTCTTTCAACTTTTTGACTCTTTTGTAGTAACACTTAGCTTAAAACATAAACATATTGCATAGCTGTACAAAAGTATTTTCTTTCTTTATATCCATATTCTATAAGGCTGTTTTACTTTTTCTGGACTAACATATGGTCTGTCCTGGAGAATATTCTGTGTGCACTTGAGAAAAATGTGTATTCTGCTGTTGTTGGGTAGAGTGTTACGTATATATCTATCGGGTCCGGTTGGTTTATAGTGTTGTTCAAGTCCTCCATTTCCTTATTGACCCTCTGTCTAGATGTTCTATTCATTATTCGAAATGGGGCATTTAAACCTCCAGCTGTTATTGTAAAACTGTGTTCCTCCCTTCAGTTCTGTCAGTGTTTGCTTCATGTATTTTGCAGCACTGTTGTTTGATGTGTATGTGTTTATGGTTGTTACATCTTCTGTGTGAGTTGACCCTTCTATCAATATCTGATGATCTTTTATCTCTTGTAGCAATTTTTGACTTAAAAACTATTTTGTCTAATACTAGTATAGCCACTCCAGCTAACTTTTGGTTACTATTGCATTGAATATCTTTTTTTTACCCTTTTACTTTCAATCTATTTGTGCCTTTGGATCTAAAGTGAGTCTCCTATAGACAGCATGCAGTCGGATCATGTTTTTTGTCTATTTTACTAATTTCTATCTTTTGATTGAACGTTTAATCAGTGTACATCTACAGTAATTGCTGATTCTTTTTGTTTTTTGATTTCTGTATGTTCCATACCTTTTTTATTCCTCATTTTCTCTATTACTACCTTTTTTTCCTATTTGGTTTTTTTGTAGTGTACTCTTTGATTCCCTTCTTATTCCTTTCCTGAATATTTTTTAGATATTTTCTCAGTGACTGCCATGTTCATTATAATTAGCATCCTAAATTTATAGCAATTCAGTTTAAACTAATACCATCTTAGCTTCAAAAGCGTGTAGAACTCTGCTTATATTCGGTTCCACCCCTCTTATATTGTTGTCTTCACTAATCCTATGTGTGTACATATGTACCCAATAACGTAGATTGGTAATTATTTTATGTACTTGTCCTTTAAATCATACAAGAAATAAAAAGAGGAGTTATAAACCAAAAATACAGTCAAAATGGCTTTTATATTTACCCATGTAGTTATAATACCTTTACTAAAGTTATTTCTTCATATGGCTTCAAGGTGCTGTCCAGTGTCTTTTTCCACGCTCTTACTTTTGTTCAACTGAGATTGTCTTAATGTCTTTAGTTTTGAAGGACAATTTTTCTGCATAAGGAATCAAGCACATTTAAAGTGGTTGTCTATGGGGAAGAGGGGAGTGGGACCCAGATATCAAATAAGGAAAATATATAAAGCAAAACAACAAAAGAGCCTTGCACCAACCCGTAAGTGCAGGGTAATGTGTACCAAAGAGTAGACTTAACTTGATTCTCTGCATCTATCTGAGTTAAAAAAATAAATAAATAAATAAATAATTTTTTTTTTTTTTAAGCCAAGTTAATCCATTCCTACAGTAGCATTCTGAAGGGACTATTCACTTTCTTCTTCCTAGATTGCCCAAATTTTCCTGGGTTTTCGTCCCTCCCAGGGCCCAGTATTTCCCATTTTGTTCAATTCCCTGAGCTCCCCATATCTTTTCAATAAATACCTTTTTTTTCACTGTAAGGTAGCAGAATCAGCTCCTATTGCTTTTCACCTAAGCCCTCGATGAATGTATCCCTGGGGGAACATCGAGAGCCTTCTTAGGGAACAGACTTCTGGGTAAGGAGATTAAATGGCCATTTATTTCTGTGTCCAGTGTCTAAGCTGTGTTGTCTCCAGGGCCATGGCTGCTGTTTGGGAAAAGCAAGAACATTTAGGTCATGTTTCACTGTGGAGTATTTATGTCCCCAACACCTAGCATACAGTGGTTGGCCTACAATAAGGAGGTCAATAAGTGTCTTTTGAATTAATGACTAATCTTAACATTTTGAAGTTGCCTTTTTCTTGATTCAGTACTTGCTTGGTGGCTGTAAACCTTTGATTTTTATCAGAATTCTAACAAAGTTGATTCTAACAGTTTTTACTTTATTTTTCCATGTTTCTCTGGAAGGATGGTCCCTTGGAGCTTACTCTGCTGTTTTCTCTGATTCCACATTTTTAATTTAGACAAGGTGACTTAACTCTAATCCTGTTCAAAGAACTGGTAGGCGGTGTACAAAGTGGCCTTTTCAAAATTTTATTTCTGAATGAAATGTTAGGGATATTTTGTGAAAAAATATTTCTGTGGCTAAATAAGTTTGGGAATAATTGTATGCCATTTTAAG